GATGGATCAGACTTCTTAGTTAGCTCACAGCGGGCTGTGTGGCTTGCAGTGGGAATAGCATAGTATCTCGCATCAGTGTTTGTGTGGTGTAAAGATACATGTAGTTGACAGGAGACATCAGTGTTTGTGTGGTGTAAAGATACATGTAGTTGACAGGAGACATCAGTGTTTGTGTGGTGTAAAGATACATGTAGTTGACAGGCGACAAGGGTGCAAAGCTAAACAAAATACTATAGACAAGGATGACTAAATACACATGCACAGTCTTTATAAAGATAATGCCAGCCGCGTTAGGAGACTGTTGTTCTTTCTGATGGAAAAGACGAATTGTGCTGATTTCTGTAAAGCTTTGACGATATTCACTGTTGCCGGTTTTCTTTTATTGTAGCTGAGGTCAGCAGCACAAAGCTGGAAGCGACAAAAAAAAAAGAGCTGAAAAACTTCACAGTGGGTCGGGACAACAGAAATACAAGTGTATCATACCTAGATCTAGATCTAGCGGCAGCCGGCGCCTCGTTTGTTGACAATGCGAGGAACGTACTATGGTGCGGTCAAACATTCGTGAAGTAACTTATTGTTAAATATTTTGATATTTCATAAACTATCGAATATAGACTCTTCAGCTTTTGCACAGTGACTTGTATCAATTTATCTTAACAGATCATTACTTTTGTAAAACACCTGTTCGCTCTTTTCTAGAAAATTCCTTAATAAAATTAAATACCAAAAATAAATTCCTAGTGGGTGGTTTCTACAGATTTTAAAAGATGTACAGCTGAGGCAATATTGCTTTTAAAAGCAAATTCATCATTTTTTTCTAATCGTGACACTATCTTTATTGAATGCAATTAAGAACCTTTAGCGCAAAAGGTTATTCACTTTAAAATCAATTCCTTGTAACAAGTTTGTCCACTAAAAAGTGTCATTGGTGAGCTGTGACGTAGACCAAAAGCCTAAACCCGCCAACTTTCTGTTGTCACAAAAGACAAGAGGAGTTTGTCCGTAGAGGAAGCCTCGACCGTGCCCCTAACACATTTTGGGGGACAGTAGTTCTGTGGTTGTTACATTTCATCTGAGTTGAATGTCAGCAAAGAGAGACACATCGATACAATAACACGGTTATTTAGTGCAGGGGAAGAGAGTGGCTGGCACACAGAAACAACAGAGAGAAAACAAAGATGAAGAAAAAGTACCCGTGACTGCCTCCAAACCCCCGCTACAACTTTGGGACCAGACTAAGACTACCGTGTCAATGACCACAGCCCCACGCCCTGCTTAAGACAACAGCTCCCGTGTGGACAGGTTCATTCCCTGCATAAGACAACAGTTCCTGTGTGGACAGCTACGTGTAGGTCACATGTGTCAACTGATTTCAAGAAATAGAACAGAACAATCAACTGTTACACGAACAAGCAGAAACCATAGAATCGAAATGAAAGGCCGGTCTTTAAACACCAAAACTACACAGAGAGAAAAGAAATCATCGACAGGAAATGAAAAGAACAAAAGAGCAACCAGGAAGCTCAACAGAAGCTAATGTGCTCAACACTGAAAAGGTGACAGAAGTCAGCGTCACGAAAATCTACGAAAAAATTATCCAAACCAAACTGTAAACACAAAAAGAGTGCACACGAACTGCCGATAATAGGCAACGGAAAAAAGCTGTGAACATAAGTAAGTGCAGAAGAGCTCCACAAAAAGAGAATGTCGGTCGCTACATGTGAAATTATAAAGAAATGCAGACACCGAGCACATTATATGTATACTTTTTCTTCACGGTCAACTCTGGGCCGTCGCTGATTGGTCAATCATGCCCGACTCTCCTCTGGCTGCAGACGGAAAGGTTAGACAATGTTGTCATGGTTTGTCGGGTGACATCTTCTTCTCAAAGTGTTAACTCTGTCTCTCTCTCTGTCTGTCTCTCTCTCCCCCCCC